TTAACCTTTTTCACAGAGTTAGAAACATGTTTCTGTGTACTACTCTACAGTTTGTAGTGTTTTCACATAAATGAACCTCAGGAAAAGAATGATTATAGCCCACTTTACACCTGAGGAAATAGAAGATGAAGCAGTTTCTCTGGGTGTCAAGATGGCCAGTGTGCAGGGAGCTGGGCATTAGAACTGGCCTTTTCTTGTTGGGACGTGCAGTGAAGTGGTCTCTCCCAGGTCTCACACCCTCGTTTAAAGACACTGGAAGGCTGGAGAGATGGTTAAGCATTGAAAAACACTTTCTGCTCTTGCAGAGGACCCAAGTTCAGTTCCCAGCACCTACATCCTCATTTCTGGCAGTTCACAACCACCTGTAGCTCCAGCTCGACCTCTCACTTCCCAGGGCACCTGCACCATGAGGCACACACTCATATGACAGACACACAGTAAGTCAGTCTTTAAAAAAAATGCTGGATTCGAGTTTTATTTTCAGCTCTAAAATGGTAACTTTGTGGTTTACTCAGGATAGCAATTAACACAGAATAACTCTTGCCCTATATACAACAAGGGCTCTGGTTTAATATTAAAATTATATATAAAGAAGGCTAATTTACAGAATATTCGTCAAAATGTTAACTCTTATTTGCAGAGAACAGCTCCTTACATTGCTCTGTACAGGGGATAATTTTACGGCCATTCTACTTTTAACTGTCTGATTTCTTTCTAATGAGCATTTCCTTTTAATAAATAGAAAAAAAAAAAACCACATTGATTTCCTCCCCTCAGAATTGTTTCCATTACAATTAGGTAAAAGTTTTTCTACATCTTTATCCCATTTTCAAGGCTGGAAATGAAAGGCAGTTCTTGTTTCTTTCCACATCTCTTACCTGTCATCCCCACCTAGCAGGCTCAATGTTTAGTAAAAGAAAAATAAAACTCAGTACACATTTGAGGGCTGGAGAGGTGGCTCAGAGGTTAAGAACACTAGTTGTTCTTACAGAAGACCCGGGTTCAAATCCCAGCACCCACATGGCAGCTAACTGTCCATAACTCCAGTTCCAGGGGATCCGACAGCCTCTTCTGACCTCCGTGGGCACTGCACAACACGGGTGCACTTACCTACATGCAGGCAATACACGCATACACA